AGTGGAATTCAGATGCTAAAGTTAAAATCTGCCTCTTTCAGATGATATGGGCATTTTGTGGCCTTAATTTAGCAGCAGCACAAATGTTATTAATAATATAAACTAAACAGGCAATGTTATAAAGTGAAATTAGGTAATTCATTAGTTGGCTGGAATTATGTTTAGTTCCTTAGTTAAAATAACATTAATATTTGTTCTTGTTACAGTTGTAATTTTTCTGATCCACCCTGTATCATTCATGCAGACTTTTGATTACTTAAATTAAGGTTGCTGTCAAAAGAGAAAAAAATCCAGAATATTTTCAGATTAAAAAAGAAATACTGACTTCCTTACTTTCCCATATATTATCTTAAATGCTTATCACAATAACCTGAAGCCTCAGTTATTTTAATCTCCTATGTGTATGAGGCTTCTGATACTCAAGAGGGTAGGTAGTTTGTTCAGGGTAACAATTGCAAAATCGAGGTGACAAGGTTAAACCCATGTCATCAGACTCTGAGACTTACTCTAACGTCTTCTTGCTTCCACGCCTTGTTTTGCCTCCAGTGTCATAATTGTTTGAACCTGGACATTTCAACATATCTTAACATTTTGAGGTATAACAACCTTCCCATTCTCCAGCTCTAGTTTTCTTTGTCTTTTCCTCAAGATTTTAGAGCAGGTGATTTAAGAACCAAAGAGTCCCAAAGACTGTAGTGGGCAGCATGATACAACTTTTAGTTTATAATCTAAATCCATTGTAGGAGAGGGGGATAATTAAAGAGAGATTCCTTTATTCCATCAACACGTTAATTGTGCATCAATCAACACATTAATTGTGCATCCATCAGCACATTAATTGTGCATCCACTCCATGGTAGACATTTTTTATGGGGGCTAGGGATACATTGGTGATCACAAGAGACAGAATAACTTATTCTCTTGGAGTGTACTTTCTAGTGGAGGGCACAGATAATAAACAAGGAATATTAGTAAAATATATAGTTTGGATAAGTGCTAAGGTGAAAAATAACGCAGGAAAAGCAATAAATTAGTCAGAATAGGAAAAAGATGTTTGTAATTTTAGAAAGGGTAACTCAGAAAAACCCTCTGTGAGAAGGTGACATTTGAGTGAAAGACTGAAGGAGGGTAGCAAGTAAGCCATGCAGATGTCTTTTGGAGGAGCGTTCCAGGCCAAGGGAACATCATGTGCAAAGACTCTGAGGCTGGAATGTGCTTGACATATTCAAAGAACAGAGCAGGCCAACTGGGTGGAATGAACAGAATGAAGAAAAGAGTAAGAAATGATGTCACAGGGGTACAGATCTTATAGAACTTTATGGACCTTTGTAAAGACTTTGGTTTTTACTCTCATTAAGATGGGAGACCCTGGGGCATAGTGGTTAAGTTCAGTGTGCTCCACTTCAGTGGCCCGAGTTTGCAGGTTTGGATCCCAGTTGCAGACCTACAATACTCATCAGCCATGCTGTGGTGGTGATTCATATATAAAGTGGAGGAAGACTGGGACAGATACTAGCTCAGGGCTAATCTTCCTCGAGCAAAAAGCAAGGAAGACTTGCAATAGATGTTAGCTCAGGGCTAATCTTCCTCAGCAAAAATAAAATAAAATAAAATAGATGGGAGATACAAGAGGCTTTGCTCAATGAGTGATATTATCTGACATACATAAAAATAATCTCTCTGTCCTCTCTGACCCTCAGGAGGCTCAGGGTCAAAGTAGGGAGATCAATTAGGAGGTTCTTCAAAAAATAAATCAGATGACTCTGACCAATTTGGTGCAGATGAGGTGATGAGAAGCTGTCAGATTTAGAAGGCAGGACCTGCAGGATTTCCTGATGCATTAATTGTAGTGTGTGAAGTGGGGAAAACAGGAAAGAGCAGATTTTGGGGGGTTTGGGGAGAAACGGGATAAGATCAGGAGCTCAGTTTTGAACAAGTAATATTTGGTACCTTATTAAATATCCAGTGAAGACTAAATGGATGCTAAAGCTAAACTGACATAAGAGAGTTCAGCTCTAAGGCATTTGATCTAAGAGGAGTAGGGTTATAATCATCAAAAAACAAATATTTATTAAACTTTTTTTATGTGTCAAATGCAGTACTAGGTCCTGGAATGTAATGTTAATAAGATATAAGATTAGGGGCTGGCCCCGTGGCCGAGTGGTTAAGTTCGCGCGCTTTGCTGCAGGCAGCCCAGTGTTTCATTGGTTCGAATCCTGGGCGCGGACATGGCACTGCTCATCAGACCACGCTGAGGCAGCGTCCCACGTGCCACAACTAGAAGAATCCACAACGAAGAATAAACAACTATGTACCGGGGGGCTTTGGGGAGAAAAAGGAAATAATAAAATCTTTAAAAAAAAAAAAATAAAAAAATAAGATATAAGATTAATAAAATCTCAAAGCATAAGATGGTTTATAGTTCATGATATAGGTGACTTAGTTATATGGCCCTCACAAACATGCAATCTTGGAAATAGGAATACTTGATCCGTTACCACATTGTTACAACTATACCTAGAAGTTTTATTTAGTTGGCCATCCTCTTAAAGGGGGTTTGGCTTTTTCATGGCTTGGCCTCCTAAAACTTCTGTTAAGGTAGACTATTCTAAAGAAGGCTATACTCGCAGCTCTTATTGGCATTTAATGTCCCTTGTTCTTTTCGTTTCTTCTTACTGATAAATTCAAGCAGTGAGTTGTATTCAAAGGGTGCTGCCTTCCTGGTATAGTATACACAAGGTGGTTGGCGTTGGTGTTTTCTGAGCTAAGCAGTAGTACCTGAAGGGTGAATTAATCACTGGGCTTTTTTGTTCCATCTTTGAGTGTTGTGTACTTTTTGTACTGATGTTTTGACATCTGGTATTCTCTTAATAACGCTGCATGGGGTTTTTTGAAGGACCTATGAAGGCACTGAGTAAAGTAAATAACATTTCTAATAATTCAACTACTCAGACAAAGGCAGGAGCTTTTTGGTTTTTTTTCGGTGTTTTAGGTCTTCAGGATGCATTTGAGAATGTATTATAGCTGCCATTTTTCCCATTATGGAAGACTGCTGTGCCGAACGTTCGTGGTTGATACTCAATCACAGCATCTTTCCTTTGAGTCAAAGAAGAGAGCAAATAGCCCTCTGTTCAGGGACCTGGGTAGCACTAACCACTCTCCACTCTCAAATAGTAAAGTAATTTAAGCTATCAGAGCTTCAACACTGCTTTAGTAGCGTCCCCTGGAGAACAAAGCAGTTAAAGCAAAATTTCATGTGGTTTTCTTTCATGATTTGAGCTCCTTCCGAGAAATATATCTAGAGTTATGCAGCAATATTTCGAAACTGTTTCATTGGCAGTGTTCTAGCAGAGTTCTTTATCAAGTAACAACTGTGAAATCGTGTCTGACAATATGAGAAGTGCTATGATTCCGGCTACAGGTGGCTCACCTGTAAGAATAATTTCCACATTTAGAATAATCTTTGTATGAAGTTTGTATAAAATATAAAAGTATGAAGTTTGAATAAAGACAAATAAAAATAGAAAACCTGGATATGTATGTATTTTTAAGGTGAGCTAACAGTTTGGGAGACAACTAAATGTGGTAACTTACATCATAAAACAAAAATCAATGTGTGTGATCTACGCAGTTGAAAAAGGTGTTAATTAGAAAAACATCTTTTTTTCAGCTAAAAACTTTCCCCATGCACATATTGCACTTCTAGTGCTTATGTATATATCCCTAAAATTTGTGCCTTTTAAAATTTTACGTAAATGGTGTCATACTGTATAGATCCCTTTGCCACTTGCATTTTTAAAAGTCTAATATTAGATTTTTAAGAAGTATCTATGTTTGTGACTATGAAACTAGAGCACTGATTTTCACTGCTCTTTAGAGTATCATTCTGTAAGTTAGCCATTATTTGTTTATTTATTCCCCTATTGAAGAGAGTTATGTCTTTAGGGATTTTAAGAAACCTCCAAAGAAAAGAGGAATTGACAGTCATAGACAATTTCTCAACTCTGCTCCAACAGCTTGGCACACTGATGTGTTGGGCCACTGTAAATTCTAAAGCTTCACAGAACTGGGTTTGGGAGAGGATAGAAGTAGAGTTTTGAATCTTAGAATAAAAACGGAAATGAGATAGTGGACAGAGCAAGGAAGATGGCTGGTATGGAGCTCACAGGAGTATTTTAACAGAGTCCAAAAAACGCAGTTTCAGTAAAGAAGTCTTCATGAGCTTTTTCTTTTTCTTAGCTCTACTATCTTTTTTATGCTGCTATCAGCGATAGTAATTCTGAATGCTTATTTTCCATCTGTGTATAACAGGCTGTATTCATGCAAAACCCTTCAAGGATCAAACTTCCTGATCTCCTTAAGCCAGTCAATATGAATATAAATCCAGTGAATATCCTCATTCTTTTAGATCTTCCATGAAATAAATGGTACACATATGTGGCTGTTCATCAGAATTAACTGGAGATCTTTGTAAAAATACATACTTTTATGAACTCAGCCTTGGAAATTCTGATAAAGGATTTATAGGACAGAGGAATTGTATTTTTTTATAAAAATCCCTGTGATTCAAAAAGCATTTCAGCTAAGACACCACTTCCCTAAGTGTATAGCTTAATTTTTTAAATAGAGTATTCCCTAGTAGGGGTTGTCAAAAATTAGTCTAAAAAAGTGATATGGGTTAAAAACAAAAGGTTTTTCCTTGAAATCTTTGGTGAGAATTAAGTTGATTTGCTTCAACTATTTATATCCTGAAAATATATGTAGCTAAGAAAGGTGCAAAAACTACTGAGACCGTGAATATCAAACTGATTCACACCTCAGAGAAAAGATAAAAAGCTTTACCTATGGATAGAAAACCCAAATAAAAGAACTTATTCATTGTCTGTGTGGAGGATATTTAGTACATTATTAAAATCATGTGTCATGAATCCAGGCCCTTATAAAACTTTTTAATTGGTTATGCATAATTGCAACTTATGATTTTTCTATTGTGTTTCCAGCACAGTGATGCGGTCCATGACCTTCTTCTGGATGTGATCACATGGGTTGGAATTTTGCTGTCCCTTGTTTGTCTCCTGATTTGCATCTTCACATTTTGCTTTTTCCGTGGGCTCCAGAGTGACCGTAATACCATCCACAAGAACCTCTGCATCAGCCTCTTTGTAGCAGAACTGCTCTTCCTGATAGGGATCAACCGAACGGACCAACCAGTAAGGAGCTGACATTGATATTACTCCAGAATTTCTCCACTTCCAGCTGTTCAATACTAGAAATATTCATGTCTGAAAATATCCTCTGTTCCAGTTGTCTAAGATAAATACTAATTTTCAGATCTTATTCAGTTTTCCCTTTCTCATGTCCCATTGTCATAAAGAGGCGGGGAATGTTATGGATGTATGAATGTACATTTCTTCAGAAATTCTCTTCATCTACTTGGCTGCTGTTTATCTGCTTGCCTGTTTAAAGAACTATGTCTCTTCATTAGTCTTTTTTTCCTTTAATTTTTAAATTACAGAGCTGAATATTGAGGAAAGTGAAATAAAATCATCCGGGGGAATGGAGGAGGATCTTTTCTAACAGATATAATTGTTATTTTTTGAAGTTTATAATATGCTTTTAAAACATAATGGTTATTATATTTAAAATTGCGTGTCTAAAATGAATTTTTTAATTGTCATATTTTGAAAAATAGTTCAAACTGTAGTTCGTTTTTAGAATATGTAAAGTCTTCCCAAATTTTGTCTGTCACTGTATTTGCTCAAGTTCTGTTCTCATCTTTAAGTGTTAACTTCGTACTTTACTACTATCTACATTTAATCATGTCAAGAAGGGAAGGGAGAGACGGAGGGAAGAAAGAAACAGCACTAGCCAACTGTTCTTGGTAAAACCAAATGAAAATTATGAATAACAGATAGCATCTAATATGTTGCACAAACTTCATGCTCACTTATAATTTTTGTGAGGCCCTTTCTATTTACTTGAGATTCGTGCACACAGGGCAAGTTTGTTCTCATGACTAAAACTGCAAATGAAAAGAAAACTTTCATTTTTTAGAAGATTTGTAGGCATAATAAATAATTCCTTCACTTATGCTGTTCTCTGCTTTATGTCCATATGTATGGAGGACTTTAGAATAAAAATGCAGTTGGCTTCATGTTTGTGATTACACATTCATGATTAATGGCTGGAAAGGGTACAATTATGACGATTATACTTTTAATTGGTATCATACACAAATGTGACAGCTTTTCCCATAAATGCATACATATGAATAAGCAATCAAAGTGCACATTTCTTCTCCCCAAAAAAGTAAAGGCTTCTGATAACAAAAATTAATAGTTGAAGTTCTAACTCTAAAAAGCAAGAAGTGGAAAACTGTGATTTTTCCAAGAAGAAATCATTTTAATCTCTTGTTAACCTGCAATTCAAATGCTTTTTGATTTTTTTCATTTAAAAACCTTATTCTTATTTTTGTTTCCGGATGTTACATATGGTATGACAAATTTCACCAAATGTGGCATACTGCACAAAACTAATTTCTGACAAGTAGCATAAGAAACAATGATTGATATGAAAAACTTGGGTAGAATGCAGCTCAGCCCAACTTGTCTTTACTGTTGTTGCTGGATGGGTGTCCTCTTCCTGCATCCCACGTAATGGTTAGGCTCTGCTTTCTCTCTAGACCCCCTCACATTTGACTTCCTTATCTCCCCTTCATTGTCATCCTTCTAACCCAATGAAATTGACTGGCCCTTTGTCTCATTTCTCAAGGATCATACTCAGCAATGAATCCATCCTCATCTGATCATTTCTATAAATTTGTTGCCCTTCTCTAGCAGGAGCTATAGTTTTTAGGTAGGATTTCTTAGAAAAACTGAAGAACTCCAAAGGGCTAACCATTTCAGGAACTGACATAAGAAAATGAATGTATGGTCATCTAAAGCTTGTGGTAACTTAGAAACTTTGCCAACATAAGGGGTGTCTGCCCTTTTTTGGGGGGGAAGATTAGCCCTGAGCTAACATCCTCCACCAATCCTCCCCTTTTTGCTGAGAAAGACTGGCCTTGAGCTAACATTCCTGCCCATCTTCCTCTACTTTATATGTGGGACACCTGCCACAGCATGGCTTGACAAGCAGTGCATAGGTCTCCACCCAGGATCTGAACTGGCAAACCCTGGGCCACTGAAACGGAATGTGTGAACTTAACCACTGTGCCACCAGGCCGGCTGGCTGCCTTTTTTTGACCAAGTTTGTCTAGACTAACATTTAGTACAATAATAAAAAATGAGAGAAAGAAAACAATTCTGGAACACTTTATTTTAACCAGACGTACTTTCACACTTGTGCACCGTGAGCTTCCCAATGCCACCTTAAATCCTTTCTGAAACAAAGTAGGGAAGAGATAAACAAGCAATTAATAATAATTAATCCACAATTAATTATATTATTTAGTTTTAAGAGCTTTTAGCCTCCTTGTTTTTAATGTTTCTCTTTCATTTACAATTGAAGAACTTAATATGTTAGTACACATGTGATTATCACCAAGAAAAAGATCTATTTTAAAACCTTTAGACTAATCTTAGTAATAATTATCAATGGGCGCTTATTAGAACTTTTTCCTAAATGTTATGATCTCTTCTTATTATAATGCTATGCTGTCATCCATAAGCCATTATTAATAAAATGTTAAATATAGTTTTCAAGGTAGGTTATATTAAGTTTTGATATCTGAATTTTAAGAATCTCGTCTACATTGTTCTTTTGCAGACCTATTTTATTACTGCAGTCTTGATAAATAGTTTAATTTTGTGGCAGTTGATGATGTATCATTTGGTAATTATTTGGCTGAATTGTTGTTCCTTTTTTAGATTGCCTGTGCGGTTTTTGCTGCACTCTTACATTTCTTCTTCCTGGCTGCCTTCACCTGGATGTTCCTGGAGGGCGTGCAGCTCTATATCATGCTGGTGGAGGTTTTTGAGAGTGAACATTCCCGCAGGAAATATTTTTACCTGGTTGGCTATGGGATGCCTGCGCTCATTGTGGCTGTGTCAGCCGCAGTAGACTACAGGAGTTATGGAACAGATAAAGTGTGAGTTTATGTTTTCTTTCCTTTTTTTCTCTCTTTTTAAATCTGGTTGAAATAAAATCTTTGGATTTCCTTGGAAATTAAGATCTTTATATCACCTCACAGCAATAAATGATAGAACTGGAGAAGCAAATGTAATTCAACTCATGATTTTACTTTTGTTATGATGTAAAAAGAGAAAAAAATCCCTGAGATTCAGTATGATGCCATTTTAAAACAGCCTAATTTTTCCGCATCTGTGTCTTAACCTTGCGTAGTTATAAAGAGATGATCATTTTAATATTTTTCAGAGCCTTGAGACATTTGTTAAATGAAGAACTAGCTATATGGAAAACTGGGTATTCAGAGGCTGGTGTAATCTCTGACATTAATGGCTTCTCTTCTTCCTAACCTGTCGGTTCTAGTCACTGGAAACACATTTATAGCATTAATAGGAAGATAGACTATAAGAGCAGGGGCAGCTTGTGTTTTTCCTTTGTTTTTACCTATTGGGGTATAGTGATGAATTTTATTTTCAACATACCTTCAAATTGCTGAGACATACACATAGAGATGTCCAGCATACTGGAAAGGAATTCAGCGAAAAATATTTTTATAATCCACAGCAGTGTAACAGTTAGGATCCTAAGAATGAATGAAAGTTTCAATAGAAAAAGATTAGAAACAAGACCAAGATGGATCTCTGATGAATACCCACATTTAAGACACAGATTAAAGAGGAAAAATAAAAATAGAGAAAGAGAAGAGATGACTAAAGCCTTGAAAGTGAACCATGAGGAAAGTGAGAAGAAAGTTTCAAGAGGGTGATTCAAAACACCACCCATGGTGTTTTAAAATGTCAAAGGTAATTCAAGTACGATAAGCTCTGAGGAAAAATCATTTGCCCTTTGCAACAACTATTTTGATAAAGTGCTGGAAGCAGAAGCCAAATTGGAAGGTGTGAACAGATAAGTCAGTGGCGAGAAGGTAGAGTGTTCAAGTATTATCTACACCCTGAAAATGTCTGCTTGAGAAATAGTGAAAATATTAACTTGTAATCACAGTGATGAAGAAGAATTTTAAAAAGTGAAGTCCCTAGAATGTCGAGGGTGGGAAGAATCAAGATAATAGGAGATTAATAGAGAGAAAATATCTTATGCCTCATTTGTATTATATATATAGGTTGAATGAAAGGGAAAGGTTGTAGGGGGATAGAAAGGTATAAGATTAGGAAAACCTTTATTTAGAACTGAAAGTGGCCTTAGAATTCACTTAGTCCAAGGCATTAATTTTACAGATCAAAAAAATCAAGAACCATATAAATTAATTGCCTTGCCTGTGGTTATGGAGCCAGATAATGGCAGACGTGTGATAAAACAAGTCAGGTTTATTTCCACTAAACTAGGATGTTTTTAAAATAGTGAAATGACCTCTCCTGGGGTGAGTGTGAAGGAAAGTACAGATAAGATAAATTTCAAAGCGGAGGGACTTTTCCATCAAGTAGGAGATGCTGACTCTTGCTGAGTGAATAGGTGAGGTCACATTGAGAGGACAGGAGATTTGAAAAGCTCTGAAATGAGCACTATGGAAAAATGTGTTAAGGTGCCAATTAAACATTAATACAAAGATTTCCAAGCAGTAGTGAAGGCTCAGATGAGGTTAGATACATCAATTTGCACAGAAGGTAATAAGCCAAATTTCATGACTTTCCACCAGCAATCAGCAGCCTGAATATGCTGCCAATAAAGCAGCTCGCTTCCCAGAAGAGAGGATTCATAAGGTGGGAATGACAAGAAAAGGACTCCAGGAGTATTGGGAGCATAGTTAAAATAGAATATGTGTTTGTGCAGAGGCACCAACAATGTCAGTAAAAGAAGACCGTGTCATTTCTGTTGAATTTTTTTCTGGAGTACAGTCACAGGCTATATAAAGCCATTTGTCTAAATGTAACTAATAGGAATTATTTCTTAATATAACCTTTATGAATTGTGATCAAATCTGTGTTCATTTTGTGGATCCCAGTGACAACTGTGGAGCAGATTAGGATTAGATAAAAAATTATCTGGGTTTGCCTCTAAAGACATCTTAGGGGAGAGGGATTAGGTAGGTCATAGGATCTTTAAAACTAACTTTCATTGATATAATTCACATACCACAGAATTCAGTCTTTTAAAGTATACAGTTCAATCATTTTTAGTACATTCACAGTGGTATGCACCCATAACCACTATCTAATTTTAGCACATTTTCATCACCCTAAAAAGAAACCCATTAGTGGTCATTCCCCTTAGATCATAGGACTGTCATTTTCATTAATGCATTTCTCCTCAAAGAAATTAAATTGGATGTTACCATTATTTGTGACCTTATATGATTTCAAATATTGTTCTGAAGTAGCTCAGTTTTGCTCTCTTGCAGTTCTTCATTTGCATTTATTTTTGTTTTATGTTGATATTTTCCTCTTTAGATATTTGCAGATTTTCCTGTTACTGAAATGACTCAACTTATTTGCTTTGTGTTTTAGTCATTTATTTTGACACAAATGTCATTTTCTGGATAGTAGGAATCCATCTTTTCTTAGAATCAATAATATGTGGTCTCTTGTGACTTTGTTAAAGCTTTGGCCATCGTTGTTTGAATTTCCTGCACCATAACTGGAAGCTCTCCTTTACTGTCGTTAGTACTGTGTGGGAATAGAGGCTAATTTATTGCCCAGGCACTGATTTAAAACAAGCCTTAATGATAGTTCAGTTTCGCAATTATGATTTTTCCTAACAGAGAGAAACAAAACAGATATAGAGAAAGGGGAGGGTAGATGAAAGAGGGAGAGAAAAGGATAGGGAAAATTGCATTAAAATTCTGTCACAGGCAGGCAGAAAGCATTTAGAGTCGCGTTTGTACATTTTAAAATAAATTGTCCACAGACAGACTTTCAGAATACGTGAAAAAAATGTTTAACTTCTACCCTTTGGGAATTCATCCAACCCAATATCTATACAGTGCTATTTGGCCCTTTGAAGGAGCCCATGTTGAAAAAAAGAAATATTATTCAGTCATTTGTATTTACTTGAGAAGCTGAAATGAACGGGTCACGTTTCCATCAGGACTTTCATCAAGATATCTTCTAAGAAAAATATAAGCAACGAATTTTTATACAACTTGAAGGATTTCTGCATATAAATTATATATCTTGTAAGGATTTCTGCATATAGAATTATATATCTTGTTCCTTATTAGCAAATCTTTGATGTTCCAGTTTTTGTTACTGTGTTTGTTGCTTTTATTTTATTTCAAATGGCATTTCCCTCTCCGTGCTTATCATTTGATGCTTTGTTTTCATGTAAGTCTACTATCTCAAGTTTGGGGAGTCTTTTTCTTTTTTCTTTTCTTTTTTTCTTTTCTTTTTTGCCAGTATTACCTTCTAATGTGCTACATTGATTTTATTTTAATACTAATATATATAGTTCACAGTCTTAAATAAACTGGAATTAGCCAGAATTCAGAGACATTTTGTCAGCCATTTTTAATAAATTCTTATTAAGCTCAATACAAAAATTGAAAATTTTTGTGTCTGGCAAGTCTCTGTCACTTATTTTTGGAACTTTATTACTATTAAATTTTTACTCCTCAGTCTCAATCACTTAGAGTACATCTAGAATAAAACCATTGAATATATGTTACAATAATCCAAATAGTAGACATTTCTTCCTTTTCTCTCTTCTTAATATACTTAATTGTATTTTATTATACTGACGATGAGGTTTGATTTCTGAAACCTTTAATAATAATGGTGATAGTTTACATTTCCAAAAAATAGAGAATCATATTAATGGTAGGAGATAAAATTGTTTTTGTAGGTTAAATAAATGTTATTTTGGTACAGATAGATGTAACTATCATATTCCATCTGGCTGCTGGATTAGCGTGTGTTTTTCTATGAAATGTTATTAGGGCTGTTGAGTTGATTATTATGTACAAAACACATACTCACACACAAAGCATACATAATTTGATTTTGAGAAGTTTGCTTATTTTGCCATCAATTTGCAATGCTTGTAAGAGAATCTTATTATTTTCTGATGTTTATGAAATCTTTTTATCTGTACTGACATTATTCTCGAGAAAGTACTTAGAATTACGTTTAGTACTATAATTAGACATTTAAAAAATCCAATTAAAAGACCAATACAGTCATTTTTAAAAAAAAATAACTCTCAGCTAGTGGAACACAGGTCTAAATTGCAGTGTTAACAATGGGCATTTATTCCATTTTGTCTCTGTTTTCATATCTTCTCTTAGTTTCTCTTATCCTGCTATTCATATGGATATTTAGCACAGCCAGCCAGTGTGCTACTGTCAGAAGATAAAGGCTGGCATTGACTTAACGATAATTCAAACAGGACTGATTTGGAAATTCAGTGCTAAATACTTTGATTTTATGACCTGAAACTAATCAGTTCATTTAAACTTTAATTACCTCAATATTACCGAAAATGCAAACTGAACAGTTCATTTTTATTTAAAGAAAAAACTCAAATTTATAGTTTATAGCGCTTTCCTCACAATCTAAGTACACAATGACAGAAGCCATCGTTAGCATGATGGATAGATTGGAAAAGGATTGGAAGTACGTTCCAGGAGGATGGAGGGTACTGGGAGGAAGTACAGCCCAAGAATCACCTAAGAGTTCAAGATGGGCTTGAAAATTGGTAAGGGATTTCTGGAAGATGTAGCTTAGGTCATGAACATTTATAATAGATCAGAATATCCTTGAGTACTAGAATCGATAGCCAAGCTCTTAAAAATAATTGAAATAAAATTTTATGATCTGAAAATTATTATAAATCATCTATTAAGTCTTAGATTTGTCTCCGTAGCGCACTAGTTTAAGAACAGCTCTAAAAGAGGTCATTTTCCCTCTGCCAGTTAAAGCCCCCAAATTTCTTTATTTTCATTTCATTATCTAAGTAGCATAATCATTTGGGTAGAAAAGTGATTATTGACTTTTAAAAATACCAAATTAC